TCTGAAAGTGAAACTCCTGTTGATCAGGAGCTATCGATGCAAAACTGCTGTGCATGCAATTCCCATGGTCCCACTTGCCAAAGTTGGCAGTGTTGAGCAACTGTGGGGAGAAAAGAAACAAAGCCAAGCCTCTACACTCTCCCCGTTGCCATGCTCAGGTAGCTGTTGGATTTTTTAAAAACAGATTTCAATACCTTTGCTGTTTATAACATTCTACCCCTTATGGGACAGTTGCTACAAACATGTGCAATTCTTGACTGCAGATTCAACGGAAAGAAAGCAAATTCTTCTGTTTCAGCTTAGCATGCTTCTTGTGACTTGTCAGCTTGACTAGTTTTCTCTGACTTTCCTCAGTTCCGTTGTCATCACTTGCCTGAGAGTTTCAGTCATACAAGTTTGACACACTCACTCAATCTCTTGGTCAATTTGTAGGATATTTCTTTGATGGTCATTACACCAGAATTTATTCCCCGACACTGCTAACCTATATGCCATTCCTCCAGGAACAGTCCAGTATATTGTGATCCCTGAGCTAGGAAAGACAAATTGTCTCCTTATGATGGTGGCAATTTTTATTTCTCATCAGTGTTATTCTCACGATTATTCAATACACTGCCAATACTCATGTAACCTGCTATCAAATATGGGGCTGATGAATTTGGTTGTAGCCCAAGAGCCAAATGCAGTCTCAGATGTTTTTCTGAGGGCTGAATTCTAGTGGTTAGGAGACGTTGGCCCAGGCCAAGTAAAGGTCCACACCAAACCTTGTGCTGAGGCCAGAAGAAGTGGTGCTGTGCTTGGTCCGGCAGAGGGTACCAGGATGTGGGATGCTCCAGCTCGGCTGGGCCCTCCCCTGCCAAGTGAACAGATGAGGAGGAAGGCACTGGAGACTGATGCAGCTGATTCTCCTCAGCTGGAGGTTTCGCCCTGGCAGAGACACCTGCTGGTCAGGCCTCAGCAGACCTCCTCCCAGGCAACAGGGCAGCAGAATAAAGCTCTGTAGGAGACGGTGCATCGGGGATGGCTCCTTGGGCCAGACATCCGCAAGAGCGGGCAGGTCAGACATGCCCAGTCTGGGATAGCCACGGGTTCAGGAGGCACGTCCCCTGCCTGGACCCAGGGCCAGACAGGGATTCACAGGGCTCACTTCCTGTTAGAGGAACCTGGGGAGCTTCTGCAGCAGATCACCAGCCAGAAAGCCTTCCTGACAACCGGGGTCCTCTGAGTGTGGGGACAGGGCCGTTAGTGAGCACTGCATTGGGTGCGTGTGTCAGGATTTATGAACTGTTTGCTCAAAGAGATACGAGGGTGGCCCTGCCAGCCTGGACTTGTGGCCTGCAGTTGCCCCCGTCAGAACAGAGGGCTCCCACAGGGAGCAATTTCAATACAAGTCTTCTAGCTGCCTCTTGTAGTGTTTGCTGAAGTCCTCACAGCACAGAGGTGAGAGAAACTGGAGGCAAAGGGGGCAGGGCCAAAAATGCCATCGCATTGTGACTTAGATTTCTTACCAGCAGTAACTAAGCTTCAGCAAAGGAATAGTCGAACTGAGAAGACATTACATAAAAGCCAGGAAGCTGCACACCTACCAGCCCTTGGAGGGGAACAGGAAACAGCTTCTGATTCCAGGAAGGGCATGTGGTTTTTTGGGAAGAACAGAGGGCTACTTGAGCTCCTCGGGCAGACTGGATATGACATGCAGTCCTAAGGTTTGACACCCCTGACCTAAAAGTCAGATTGTCCCTCTTTCACTCTCAGCTTTCAGGTCTTCCTTTAGAAGCCACTTATTGGGGTTCAGGGGAAGGGGACTTGTTTAGTCTTTCCCTACTGCCAGCAGTAGGGCCAGGAACTGAAGAAGTTCTGCATTCAGACCTGCAGGACTCCTCCAGCACAAATGTGCAATTGCCAGTATACACATGCTTTAAAATCAGGGTGGTGTGTGTCTATAAAGGACTATCCCTCAAGGACACCCTGTATGGAGAAGGGAGAGGAGGGCAGTTGATTTCAGGAAAAAAGCCAGCTAATTCAGGTGGCTCGTCTGCCACAAGGTAATCAGAGTTCCAGCACCTCTGTTTCAACCAGTGCTCAGGCCTGCCAGGGCAGTGGGGCAAGTGATCTTCTGGAGCCCCAGTGGGCTTCCCCCAGACACAGCCTCTGCTTCTGCCTGTGCTCTCTCATATGAGGCCTAAGCTTAGGGAGGAAAGCAACTGTGGTGCAATCATCTGGAATTTCCCCCCTTGTTTCCCATGTTATTTCTTCAATGGCCTGATTTTTGTCTGGTGACTCTTTCAGAAAGGCAAGTTGCAGGACTTCAAATCATAGAATCCTACAGTTGGAAGGGGCCTCACAGGCATCAGGTCCATGCGAGACTCACCTCACTCATGTGGATTTCATCCTGGCCCGTCCCTGCTCACAACTCCTGGACCTACAGCCAGGAGGATGTCAAGGATTCTAGCTGTTTAGCATTACCAGGGACTGGAAGCCAGACCATGCAGAGACATTATGGCTGGTTCAGTCACATTATGGCTGGTTCTTCACGCACCCCCTTAACAGGAACTAGGTGTGGCAATGATTTATTTACTTATTTATTTAGGTGCGTCCCTCCCACCCTCCATAGAGTGCCCACGATCCTCTTTGTCCAAAGGATTTCAGGCAGCCACACTGGATTACAGTGTCCTCTGCGGGATTGGGAAGCTAGAGCCAAGCTTCCCTTCAGACTTTACCGTTCATCCTGTGAAGGACTGTGTGAATGAGGCAGGGCTCTTTTTAACACCTGAACAGAAGCAAGTTTCTAGCACTTGCACAAGGCTTGAATTGGAAATGAACATGTGAGTTCTCATAGGAATTTCTGCTAGGATTATTCGGATTTTGTGTTATACTTCAAGTCCACATCCAATATGAATTCACCTGTTTACGTCTATTTATGATAATGTGTATAATCTAGTTACAGGCTAAATAGCTATGGGACCCATTCATTTCAGGAGGAGAATTAAGCAAATCAGTGGAACTTTCAAGTACTTAATTTTATTTTCTGGCTCTTCTATTTTTCAGATAAAAGCAAAACCAAAGTCGATCACTCCTCTAAAGTACTAAGCATCCAGTGTAGAAGATGTGCTTGCCAAACACCAGCTCCACAGTCCAGCCAAGAATGAATTAATTCTGCCTCAGAAACCCATTAAAATACATGTATAATCATGCAAACTCTGTGTTGGGCTGTGGCCCAAGGACTATGTCTTTACATTATCTCATATGGAATTTGTCTCTTCAATTTAACTTTCAAAATAAACCCTGCAAGGGCCATGACCACAACGGCTAGGAGCACAGCAGCGACAATATAGGGTGCCCGAGAACCAGGAGCTTCTGCATTTTCTTGTAGTTCTTGTTCCATCTCTGTAAATGAAGAACAGGAAAAGGTGTGATGCAGACTAGATGTGATGTGGTCTGTTAACCAAATGGATATTCTTTTTCCCATAGAAGTCAACAGACCATTGACTCCCACAGTATCACTTTTTTTCAGTGAGCCCAAGGCGAGCGGGGCAGCAAACAAGCTAAATAAAATAAATCAATGCATTGCTAATGGCTCCTCCCGGTGTCGTCCACACACGCAGGGAAAAGTGGCCGGAAGAGCCATGGCCTGCTTAAAGATTTGATGGGAACTGGAGTGCATACAGTGAAGGGGAATCCATTTTGGAATGTCATCAGCCAAGGCCAGGAAATGTCTTCCGTTCAAGCACCGTTGCCCCAGGTGGGTGGGGGGGGGGGCAACCAACCATCCCAGGGAATGAAGAGATGGCCCAGCAAGGGGAACTGGGGTGCAAGCTGAAGAGAGCCCCGATCCGTCCACGGGAGAACGGGAGGCGCGTTCAGGGCCTGCCCAGGGCGCGCGCCGAGAGGTGGGTAGAGGCCCCTCCCCCTGAGGAGGCGTCGCCGGTCGCCAGGAGGCAGCCCTGGCGGGAGATTCAGCCGGCGGGGACGGCGAGCAATGCCCGCAGCCCCCCCCCCCACTCACGAGCCGCGCGAGCGGTAAGTCTCTGAAACGGGATGGAGATGAAGGGAGGGCTCGGAGGTGGCTCGACGCTTTGCTCTGGGGCAGCTCAGTGCTCGACGAAAAGGCCTGGAGCGATAAAGCATCGAGGAAAGCGAGCTTACTCGGGAGAAGGACCGTGCCTCTGCACGCGCGAATGCTTTCCAGCAGGGCTGGGCAGTGCTGCGCCTGCCGGACGTTTCAGACTACGATCCCTGTCCGCGCCAGGCAGCGTGGCACATGGCCGGGTGCAAACGCTTCGTCCGTCCTTCCAAACGGGAGGGCACCAGGTTGTTGGCCGCCCCTGCCGCACACCACAGGAAGGCTGCCTGGGGACGGTATTACCACCGTGCGGGCGGAAGGAGCAGGGCATTAAAGGATGGGGCCTGCTGACGCCTGTGGCTCTGTTGCAGCAGGCCGGGGGCGCGGGGGAGCTGGAGGCCTTGGCAGGGAAGGAGCGACCCAGACGGCAGCTGAGGCAGAGGAAGCTGCTGAAGCCAGTCAGGATCTAAGGGGCTCCGGAGGAGGGACTCCAGGATGAGCAGGGTGCTGATCGCATTGTGGCATCTGAAGCTGCTGGCATGAGATGGTCAGGATGATTTCAAAAGATTCTTTAAATGTATTTGTTACATTTCTGTCGCCCTTTTGCAGCATACTTTTATCCTCATAACAACCCTTCCAGGTAGGTTAGGCTGAAGGGCAATGACTGTCCCAAAGGCACCCAGTGAGCTTCCTGGCCGAGCGGAAACTTGAACCAGGGTGAACCCACCCCAGTCCAACACCAGCCACTGCACCACGCTACCTTCCTTACCCTTCGCTTCTCTTTTCAGAGCCACTGGCAACACTACTCATTCTGCCTTAACCTTGCCAATATGAAACAGCTCTGCGATGGCACTGATTTGTAAGTAAAAGTGATTAAATAACAATGAAAAGTGTTAATGAAAGGCAGTTAAATAATTTAACAAAAGGTTTAATTTACCAGAATATGTGTTCCTGAATGCCATTCTTCTGAAGTTTAATTGGCTCAATCAATTCCTGGTAAGAGCTTGTATCTCTCTTAGATCTTAGCAGACAGCCCTGATTACATCGGGAATTATAGTCATAGGCTCTGCAAACCACCACTTTACACTGCAGGTAAACTGATGGATATTTACGAATGAAGTCAAAGGCTCGGAAGGAAAACCGAAGGATATGTCTATATGGTGAATAATGGGTCTCATAGGTATAATCTTGAACACACCTGCATGAAAGCAAAACAGAATAATATTAGCCTATACTAGTTGGTACTGGAATTACTATGCCCAGTTAATGTAAGATTCTGACCAGTGCTGAAACAAGAATGAAAGGAGTCACTTAAACACCACAGATTAGATCCATTCTGTTCCACTGGTTTAAATAGGTCTACTCTATACATCCAACTCAATATGTAAATTATCAATACATCTGATTCATAAGAGTACATAACATGCCTAGAGAGTGAACTCTCAAAACATTAGGCCTTATGAAAATTATTTCTATTAGATTTGCAATGGAAAAAGGAAGAATGTCATCATGCATTGCAAAATTAACTTAAAGAAGTAATTATCATAGCTTGCGATAAACTAAATCCATGGAAGATTGTGGCAGTTAGCCATGACAATGAAGTGGAATCTTCACATTCTGAGACAGAGTATATCTAATTGCCAGATGATGGGTACAAACAAGAGGAGAGAAAGACATAGGGCACTACTGTGAACTTCCTTGAGATATCTGGGTGGACATTGGTGGAGAAAGGAAAAACACCAACTCTAATTGAAAAGAAGATAGAACCACAAAGGTCCACTTGAATCAATTTATGAAGGCCTACTCCATTTCAGGTCAGAGATTGTGGCATTTTATCTACTCAAACTCTTGCTTGAGGCAGAGTTCTAGACCTTCTCTGACTTTTTACAATAAACTACATAGACAAAGCTCATTTCTTTTTACATAATGTAGCACATTTCTTGTTTTTATTTTTCATTAAAACATTTATATGCTTTCCTTTATCCAATTTTTTTCAAGACAGAGTACAACTATATACAGATGGCACAGATAAAGTAGGAAAACCTTGCCTATGTTCTAAATGAGAATTATGACCTGGCTGCTCCATTTGGGCATGAACATACTGAGCCGGCTCATCCATTACCTACAGAGGTCTTCAGACAGGTTACCCAAGCCTATATTGAATTCATAGGGTGGGTGGGAAGCATGACTGCTCATGCTTCCTCTCCCTCATCTGCATGCCTCCAGGCCCCTCCCCAGCCAGAGCCAGGCATCCAGCCCAATTTCAGAATGTGGCCCCTGTTTGCATATTGCTCTTCCCAGTGGCATGGGCAGCCTGCATCCATATGAACACCTCCTTCTGCCTTCTGTGTCAGGCAGCAGCGCGCAGGGGCTCAGTTCTGCCTCCCGCTCCATAGACTGTGTTTTAGCCTGTGTGAACATGGCTTTCAGGTGACAAGTATTGGTGACTTGCCCTTTTTTTCCTGCTCATGAAGTAATGGGAGCAGTGCAACTTGTACATAGGTCTCACTTGCAGCAACTTGTCATATCAGAAACTGGCAAAAGAGAAGGAATTACTAAGAAACTGACAAAGAATTGTTAAGATTTCTTTTCAGTGATGGATAACATATGAGCAGATTCTAAATAAATGCATATATGATAACATGATAGCATTTATTTATTTATTAGCACAACCTCTTAAATGTTATATAATGCAAGGGGGTAAGTGGCAATTCGCCAATGAAATTTGGCAGGGCACCACATTGCCAACTTTCCCATTTCAGTCACAAGCACTTATGACTGTGGACTAGCATTGGGTTACACTAGTGCAGTGATGGCGAGCCTTTTAGAGACCGAGTGCCCAAACTGCAACCCAAAACCCACTTATTTATCGCGAATGCCAACACTGCAATAAAACCCGAAAACTGAGGTTTTAGCTTAGAAAAAGCAACCCACAGCTAGTCCACCTCCTTGGCAGCACACTGACCGGCCATGTGAAAGCTCGGATGAGTCGTGGCTTGTGACATCATTGCCTGGTGCTGCTACTCCTTTCCAAGCATGTGCATGGCCCTTATTTGCGCTGTTATCTGATGCTCAGCTGCTGGGGCGATGCTGGGTTGACTTGGGTCTCCTGCCAACTGAGAGGGCTCTGCTTGCCCTCTGTGGCATGTATGCCATAGATTCTCCACCACTGCATTAGTGCAAGTTCATTATGGCTGAAGAGCATATGATGATGCATTTTGGAAATGAAGCTCTGAGGCCTGGCCCATTCAATAGCCTAGCTGGGAAGGAGTTCCTGAGAAGCAGGAAAATTGTGGCTGTTTGGAGGAGCAGAATGTAAATGCGCAAAGAAATGTTCTGATCAGTTGCCACTGCAACTGCGGTGAATTCTTTGCTCTTTCCCATCTTTCTTAGCTATTACACTTTGCTTGCTTTCCCAAGAAAAGCAATGACGTCTGTAGTGTTAACCTTTACAAGTTGCATAAGGGCTCTTCAAAAAAGCAAACCAACCCCAATTTTCACTTTCCTGAAACTGACTATCCAGAGTACAAGCCAAATTACCTGTCAATACATACAAGGACTGATTCAAAATTGTCCACCAGGAACAAGGAACATCTTAGTTAATTTAGAGGTATTGTTTTTGCTTAGTGCACATAAATGTCACTTTCAATCTGTATTTCTAGGTATCTGATTTTAATCTCAAGGAAATTCATATCCATGCAGGTATAAAGTCTAGCTGGGGGAGAGTTTTGATGAAGCAAGTTTCAGGAAGCTTTGCTTTGCAACTATAATAATATAGGTTTAAAACCTACCAGCACAATCTTAATAGAACAACTCAATTTTGTTGTTTAATTTGCAGAGAGTTCATTTACAGTTAAATCAGAGTTCTGATCAGTTCTTGTCAGCTTTGTTTAATAGGCCTTATTCACTGGCAAGATCAGGAATATAGAACCTCTGTCACCCCAAAGCAAATTATATTTTGGGACAGTTCTTGTGTGCTGCATTCCAAGTGGGACTGAATGCAAAGAAGCAGAGCTACACTGTTGTCCCCTTGCCAAAACAACAAAAACAACATAGTTTTCCCTGCTAACATTTCTAACTGCTAGAAGAATTGGGAGTGGGGAATGTATAAAACTGGGAAGGCTTCTACCCACTTATGGTAGCTGGGGAAAGGGTATGGGGCCAGAAGGAGGTGGGGTGGCCTTTTGGGGAACTCCAGCAGGTTGGATTTGGTCCCCAGACCTGAAGTTCTGTACCGCTGAAATGGATGGTCTCACTGAAATAATCTGATTCAGACTAGTGCTTGCTACCCGAGAATGGGAGCTGTGCCCATGTTGTGGAGTAGAGGTGTTGCAATTCTGTGCCTCTGCAGACCAGTGACACCAGCAGGTTGCAGCTAGGTGGGCCATTTGCCATTTGTATCCAGTGTTCCTACAATGAGGGAACATCCAAGGATCCCTTCTTTGCTGCAGGTTCAGGGGGAAATGGGCTGGCTGGGGAAGGATTAAACTGTCTCTTCCCAGTTGGCCCCCACATTGCTGTCTTCAATGGCAGCAAAACCCACATTTGTTCACCCAGATGTTTAAAGGCTCAGCTGGGACCATATCGCTTGTGTTGTATGATGAGTTTAGTTTTTAGGGTTTTTAAAATAAGGATAAATAATACAGTGCTTTATTATACAGTGTTCTGCGCCCTGAACTCTCTTGAGAGAAAGCACAATATCATCAGCATCTTCTTCCCTCCTGTCCCCGCAAACATTTTCCCTGAAAGTAGATTGCTGCTGGTCTCACTGGCTGAAGTGCAGTATGCATCAATATGTATTTCCCCAGTCAGCCACCGGCTATCCTTCCCTATGGTTGGGTCTCAGTAACAGCCATCTAGATGACGAAGATAACAGATAGACAACTTTTCTTTTCTTGTGTGTGTGGCAGGGTGTATGTGTGGGGGAGTGCTCTTTATGTATGTTCACAAAATGGTCTTGAAACCAGAAATTTATTTTGCCCCACGTGCACCATAAAAAAATAATCAGGCTCCACTATAATATTAGCCTCATACAAAAACATTCTGGCATGTGCACAGGTATGTCCATT